AAAAAAAAAAACAAGTAGCCTTTCTATACACCAATGAATAACATGCTGAGAAGTAGGCTATGCACACACTCCCATTCACAATAGTCTCAAAATACATATCTAGGAATAAAACTAACCAAGAAGGTAAAAGATCTCTACAAAGAAAACTTTAACTACCTGAAGAAAGAGATTGAGGAAAACACTAGAAAATGAAACCTATCATGCTCATGGATTGGGGGAATCCATAACGGAAAAATAACCATTCTACCAAAAGCAACTTTCAGGTTAACAACAGTGGAGAGAAGGCCCAGGGATGAGTCCCCTGATTAGTTATTCAACACAAAATCTTTAGCCCTAGAAACATATACATGCAGGCAGAGCCTGATTTACCAGGCTCTATTTGTGTTTTTATTTATTTAAGATGCATAACAACAATGACTAATGTTTCATGAATTTGGGATGGAGCATAAAGGGTAAGTGGAAAGGGTATCAAAAATAAGAGGATTGGAACATTTATGTGATTATATTTTAATTAAATAAAAATTGGGAAAACTGTGAGTCTGTTGAGAGTAAGATGCACAAACTAATGCAGCAAATTCTCTGTGTGTGTGTGAGCAGGTATTTTTCCTTTGCATTTCCTGCTCAAGTGTGAAATGAATAGGTAAAGAGGGTCTCTTTCCAAAAGATTGTAGGTCTATGACAGTTCACAGTTAGAGGAAGGTTTAGCAGAACAGTCTGCCTCGGGGGTCTGTCACACTCAAAATCTCTTGTGTGTCTGTCTTCTTCCTTGCTCCTTCAACTTCACTCCTTTTGTGGAGCCTGGAAGAATAAATGCTGATCATCAAACGTTACATGAAGTGAACAGGGAAGTTAGTCGCGTCGGAAGTCTCTTGGGAAATGTCCTAATTCTAATTTCAAATTTTATCTAATTCACTTTTACATTTTCCATAGGGTAGTGTCTGCTTATCTTTTGTGTTTCTTATATCAGCTATGGCAGAGCTGTGATGAATGTGTCTTTAAGTGACTATTATCATAAAGATCAGGGAAGTCCCTGACTGAAATTTGTTTCTATAGCATGACTGGGCATGTCTTATTATCTAAAGAATAATATTTTGCCTTAATCCTGATCTTCAAGTACACCCCCATTTAAAATCTCATAGCTTAGCAAGACTGAATGTCTTCTAAGTCTTAGAGCTTAGCAAGATGGTGTGGTGTCCTCAAGGCAATGATGAACTTGGAGCCAAACAGATTTATGTCAAGGTCAGATGTCAATAACTACTGAGTGAATGATTTGGGATACCTTATTTACCCTTGGCAAGATTACCTGGCAATCAAATGGTATTGTATTTCTCTGCTAAACAGCAGGTTTTGATAACAGGTTTTCTTGGTTAACATTTAATGATATGTATATGTATATATTTCAGTGTAAGAAAATAAGGAGGGAAGAAGCATTAGTAAGATGCAACTGAAGATGAGAAGAGATGCGGATTAGAAGAACAGGAGCAGTTTACAGTCATTCAGATATGACCTGCGCTCTGATTCTTTCCAGCAGTACATCTGTTCACTGGAATGAAACAACAGCACAGTTAACGTTTCTCCATTAACATGGCCAGGTTTTCTTTTTAGACTGTCTCGTTGTAACCCACGCTAGCCTGGACCTCATCACTCCTCTACTTCTGCCTCTCAAGGGCTTGGATTATAGGTACACCCCACAACTTCAGGTACCCCCTCACACACAGAGGTACCCCCCACCCCTGCAGGTACCCATCAAATTATACCACAGGTACCATCCCCACATACCTGCAGGTACCCTTCTCTCACACACAGCCGGCTAAACTTTTTCTTCTCCAAAGAGAATCTCAGTTTTCAGAATCTACACATAGATCCTATATTTTGACCCTGTGCTAGACTCATAATGTAAGAAATAGCAGCTCATTAAAAAGATAATGGATAAGTCAGACATGGTGGTACACGTGAGTATCCTTGGCACTTGAGAAGTGATGGTAGAAGGATCAGGAGTTTAAGGCCATCGTGAGGTACTTGAGAATCAGTCTCAAAAAGAAAAAAAAAGAAAGAAGGAAGGAAGGAAGGAAGGAGGAAAGAAAGAAAGAATAACAAAGGAAGGAAGGTAATTGTTAAACGTTTGTTTGCTTTTTATGGCACCTTTCTAAAATCTTCTGACGTTCTATCAAGTATATATATTATGCCTTGATGGTGAAATTACACCATATAGGACAGGATCTATGCAGAGCATGGCAGTCATGTCCTGTAGAAAGCTGGTTATGTTTTATTTCTCCCAGATCAGTTGGGGAGTTTAACACAGCAAAATCTTTAAAAATAACTTCAGTAATTCTTTGGGCAGATATGATTATTTTAGAGTCTTGATACAATTTTTTCCATGGTGATAAAATATTCCAAAGGGCCAACAGCAGAATGGGACCCAAATGTATTTAAAATAAAATACAGTGACACTAAGCTGGGCATGGCTGCTCATCTTAACCCTAGCGCTCTGGAAACTAAAAGCTGGAAGACTGCTGTAAATTTGACACCAGTGAGTTTTTACATTAGCATAGGCTATGGTGCGAGGCCCTTGTCTCAATGCAAAGACGAAACCAAACCACTCAGGTAGAGCAAAACTAAAATTTGATTTTTCCTCTTGAAATGTGCAATTTCTCAATTACCTGAAAAATTCTGCCAAGCGTGGAATACCAGCCAGCTCTTTCTTGTTTTGACCGCACTTCTCTTTTCCTAGAACGACTACCGGAAGCTGTCCATGCAGTGCAAAGACTTCGTAGTTGGCCTCCTGGATCTCTGCAGGAACACGGAGGAGGTGGAGGCCATCCTCAACGGGGACGCAGAGACTCGGCAGCCCGGGGACCTCGGCCGTCCGAATCTCAGCCGTTTAAAACTTGCCATTAAATATGAAGTAAAAAAAGTAAGGTCAGGCGTGAGGCCCCTTCCTTACTTCAGTCCGTTTGTTTGTGTGGGTATGCAAATAAGCACGGAGGCTTGGCTGGATAGAGCAGGGGGACAACTAGGTGGGATCTCAAGGACTCCATCTAGGGAAGCACAAAACCCACAGGGTTGATCATTGGGACAGGGGGAAGAGGGAGGGAGGACGGGGCTGGGAGTTGTTGAGGGAGGGGGCTTCAATCGGGATATATAATGAATAAATTATAACAAAAACTGCATATATATATATAGTTTTATTATATATAATTATATAAAACCTATATACTGTATAAAACATATATATATGTTACACAATAAAACGTAGGCCCCTTGACGCAGAACATCAGGGTCGCGGCCATTTTGCCCCTCTCAGGTAATTCTGACAGTGGCTCCACACACACATGGAAACCCATGTAGGATGTTTTCTGTACAAAGGGGACAGAGTTACAGTATTTCGGATTCCACTGTTTTCCTATCTGTTGCTAGTTTTCAATTTGGAACAGCGGCTTCAGTTTCTTTTGGGTTTGAATCCTTCCAGGGTCTTTGCAGAGTACTTTCCAGATGTTTCTTTAGACAGTAACCCCTACTGCTCTGACAGCTTTCCTAGGGCATGAAGACTTTTTTTGTTTGTTTGTTTGTTTTTATTTATTTATTGTCTGTATGCATGCTCTATGAAACCAGAGGGGGTGTTGGATTCCCTGGAGCTGGAGTTTTGGGTGCTTGAGTATGATGTGGGTGCTGCGAACTGAACCTCTGTTCTTCTGGGGGACAAATAAAAAGAGCAGAAAGTGCCCTTAAGCATAGTCATATCTCCAGCTACAGACATGTTTCTAAACATAGCGCGCGCGCGCACGCACACACACACACACACACACACACACACACACACACACACACACACAGTAGACATTTTAAAATGACATGTTTTAAGTGTACAAAGAATTCTTCTGTGTGAAATTAATATGCTAGAATTTTACTTTGTATGTTACTTTTGATTTTATTTCAGACTGTTCGGTAAGATTCCCTCCAAAAAGAGATGCATCCGGTTCCCAGTTCCCACAGAGTGCAGACAGACAGGGCCTCACCCCTCCCCTCAGTGTGCAGACAGGGCCTCACC